AAGATTATGTCTTCATCATATGAATATCAGGCACAATCCTTCCCGTTAGGGGTTTAGTATCATACCATCATAACATATATGAGAAGAACATAACCCGTGTCATGCCAACAACTGGTTTTTAAATAAATGTGTTTAGTGCCGATGCAAAGACCCTATAAGTGAATCAATATTAACGCAAAAAATATGCAATCTTTAATGACCTGACAACAGTATCGTAACTATATCCCTTCTTAATAAGTCTATTTAAAGGTTTTGTTAGTTTCAGAGGTGAATACTGACATTTTTGTGCTTTATAAAGAATATTTCCATAAAAAATTGGATGTGAAATACCTGAACGTATAAGAAGTCTGCATGTTGAGCTATATTTACGAATGATGTCCTTATACCGATGATAAAATTTAGTAAATGTTTTGACTAGTTTGTGATATCGAAAACCCTGGTGTAATACTTTTTCAGTAATACATAAATTTCTCTCGTTAAAATCTAAAACATTGTTACATACACGAGCGAATCGTACAAGTTGAGATATATAAACACCGTAAGATGGTGACAAGGGAACGTCACCATCTAAAAATGGATAATTAACAATAGGAAATGAAAAATCATCTCTTTTATCATATATTTTAGTATTAAGCTTTCCGTTAATGATATAGATATCAAGATCGAGGAAAGGGCAGTGGTCATTGTTAGTATTAGCTTTATTTAATGTAAGTTCAACAGGATAAATTTCTTTAGTATACATACTGAAGTCGTCATATTGAGAGCCAAAATATCATCCAAATATCTAAAAGTATTATTAAATTTGTGTATCAGATGTTGTTTCGATGGGTCTTTACTGATTTTTGTCATAAATTGTAACTCATAGCAATACAAAAAAGGTCCGCAATAAGTTGTGCACAGTTAGTCCCCATTGGAATTCCGATAACCTGACGATATACGGAATCTCCAAAGCGAACAAAAATGTTATCTAGTAAAAATTCAAGGGCATATATAGTATCAAAGCATGTCCAATTGACATAGTTTTTTTGTTTATTGCTACTAAAAAATGACCTAAAAGAGTTTGAACATATATATTCACATTCTGACTTTTTAAATGCCCATTTAATTAGGTGTGTGAATTTTTTCTTAATGAGAATGTGAGGCAATGTGGTATATAGGGTAGAAAAATCAAAACTTTGAACAGATTCAAAATCACCAATATATGCATGCAATTTATCAAGTACTTCCAACGAGTTCTTGACACTCCAAAAGTAATTAATTCCACTATTTTCGAAGGCCTTATTTGAACAATTTATTATCAGGTTTTTGATTGTACCAAGTGTACTGGTAAGAAGAATAGACAATTTAGTAGTGGAACAATGGCTTGAAGACGAAATGAATCTATATTTGTAAGGTGTTTTGTGTAGCTTCGGAAGCCAATACATAGTTGGGACTTTTATTGTATTTGGTTCTGCTTGTAAAGCGGTAGCTGAAAGTTTATGTTTGTTACAGATGTCGTTTTCTGAAAATGGAGTCAGTTGGAATGTTGGTGAATTGGTGATTTCTTTTTTCAGAACCTCAATGTAAAATTTACGTCAAACAATAATAATATTATTAGCAGCTTTATCGGCCGGGACAAAAACAAATTCCTTGGCTAGTTCTTTTAGTTTATGTTTGATACGAGAAATAGGTTTATTGTGGTTATTGTTAAGAGTAAAATGTTCTTTAAAATGTTGAATACGTGTATCAACTATGTTCATTACTGATTTAAAAAAAGAGTCCAAAGATTTTTTGTCAGCTTTTTCCCGTTTTATCCATTTCAAACAGTAAGTATGGAGTGAGTCGTGGATGATATTACGACACTCATTCCAATTAATAATTGACGGGGGACGATATTTAGGTCCTTTACTGAGGAATGATTTTAACTCTCGGTCTTGAACGATGTTAAGATCTCCTGTTATAACATGGGAAATGGGTCCATAAATGTATTCGGAATTACTGCAATTATATGAAGTAGGTGTATTTTCACTGATATTAACATCTTTACACAATTGGCTATAATTAAACACAAATTTCCGGGTAGATTTCTTGTAAATATAACAAATAAGAGGGAGCTCAGTATTATCAAAATATCCCGGAATTTGTTCTTTAACAGAATGGTCGTTAAAAATACCGTCAATATTTACAAAATCAAAACCTTTATTGACATACTTTATTTTAATAAACTGTTTTTTATGATCTTCAGGGCGATCAATTTTGGGAAACAGTTTAGAATAACAATATGCCATTATAATTTGAACGATTTCATACTTAGGACTGCTATATGAAATTGTGTTGCAATCCTCTAAAATTTTATTTAACTTATTAACCGGTAATGAACAGAGCTTTGTTAACAGATAATGTCTGCCGTTGTTTTTTGAAATAGAAATTAGGTCCGAAATATTGGTATGATTGGTCCGAAATTTTCTTTGATTATGATTTTTTCTACGACCATGAGAACGGTTTTTACGAACAGTTTTAGAAACTATATCCAAAATGTTAACAGAATCGGTTCTTGATATATTACCAATTCCCATGATATTATCATTAAGACCGAGAGGGTAGACTGTCTGTAATTTTTTAATCCAATTTAATTCAATTATTTTCCGCGATCGTACAAACTTTGAATGAGATTCACCAGGCTGCTTATTTACTACTTCTAAAGGTTGAACTGCTAAATATTTAATAGGATGATTGTGCTTCTTAAGGTGTTGATAAATGATACTTTTGAATTTATTGGGTCTTTTAAAACGATACAGATGTTCTTGAGTGTGTTTAGATAAATATCGTCCAGTTTCACCTACGTACTGAATACCGCATCCCGGTTTGTTTCATGTGAGTAAATGAATTATACTGTTTGTTTTTCAAGTTATATCAGTTTCAAAATTTAAAGAAAATGTGCGACCATTAAACGTGGACCTTACCGTATTGTTGGTGAAAAGACGGGGACATGTAAGTCATTTTTTGGCATGACACTTATCGATAGAAGGGTAACCACGATTTTTATTGTTAAAAATGTTAGCGATGGTAGTATTTTTAGATAAGCGATTTTGAAGATTGAGACGTGTAGATACCCTTTGAACGAGTTTAGTATTTAATATTTTTCCATTTCTAAGCTTCATATTTGTTGTTTGTTTGTGAATTATATTAGAAAGGAGCAAAGACTGGCGTCCAGAATATGAACCAGCATACAATGAATTAAATTATGTAAAAATGATAAATCTGTTCGGCTAAAGATGTCAAACGCTATCCGTATTAATTACCCGAAAAAGAAAGGGTATATTAGGGTAGCGACTGACGTCTGACTAAATAGTAGAAAGGGGCTGAATATTGAAATACCACTTTTTGATAAATATTCCTAAAGTAATGAACTAGAGAAGTTCTCGCTCGGACACACACTCCATAATCTAGTATATTATAAGAGCATAAACCTGAAGCACGGGGAGGCACTCTACTGTCTCCACACGGCACTAAAGACAAACTCTGCAAAAAATAAAATTGAGAATGGAAATGGGGAATGTGTCAAAGAGACAACAACCCGACCACAGAACAGACAACAGCAGAAGGCCACCAACAGGTCTTCAATGCAGCGAGAAATTCCCGCACCCGGAGGCGTCCTTCAGCTGGCCCCTAAACAAATATATATACTAGTTCAGTGATAATGAACGCCATACTAAACTGTTTTGTTCACGCATCGTTGTAAATATAACGGAATTTGATGAGACTGTCGTACAAGTGAGAGGTTTAGCGCTATAAAACCAGGTTCAATCCACCATTTTCTACATTTGAAAATGCCTGTACCAAGTCAGGAATGTGACAGTTGTTGTCCATTCGTTTGATGTGTTTTGTCATTTGATTTTGCCATGTGATTAGGGACTTTCCGGTTGAATTTTCCTCGGAGTTCGGTATTTTTGTGATTTTACTTTTTTTCAGCAGATGTGGAAATTTTAATGACAAAGAGTTTTGGAAATTCACTGAAGATCGTTGCACAACAAACTGAAAAATTATGACCCATTGATATATCACAATTGGTCAATTACTACCTATTGATATATTTCCTCGGTAAAATTGCACCCCATTGATATATTTGACGTATCAAAAAAGGGACCCATTCCAGCGGCACATATGTATATAGAGTGAGAGACCCATATTCGCCGCATAATTCGTTCATTTCCACTTACATCCGACCTACATTCGAATATTTGGAACTTTTTATGAAGGTTTCAGAAATTTAACTATATGAAAAAAATGTTTGTTAAAGAAATTATCTTCAAAACATTGGTTAATTGTTCTAAAAACGAACGCAAACTCAAGACTCGGGTAATCAAGTTGTTCGTGTACCATGGGGGACACATTTTCGCCGCAATGTATGATATGACAATCCTCATTATCCTGGTATATTATAAAAACGAATGTTTGCAATTACATGAATTAGCTTGAGAGATCATTCCTATACGATTTTTCTCACAAATATTTACTTTAAGACTGTGCATGATTGCCATATAAATTTTACATAATTGCCAAAATCATTTAAAAACACCTGCGTATTTCTCAATATGTGCGAATAACCTTGGAAATGGGTTAAAGAGGAATATCAACAGTTGTAACATTACAAACAGCCTTTACCATCTATTTAGGCAAGTATTGGGTAAAGGCACACAAATTTTACAGAAAAAATAGCAAAACGGCGAAAATGTGTCCAAGGCGAATATGCGCCACCCACTCTACCTTCATATAGGAAGAGACTCCCCCCGTGGTATAAAGAGAGATAACTCAAATCTAATCTTAATGTCTAAGAACTTCACAATTATTAAATTCCTAAATAACATACTTAAGCATACAAATAAATCATGATGATTTTTTAAATTATTTTCTCCTTCTTTGTACTGTTTCAGAATTTAGTACTAGTGTTACGGTATAAAGCCAAATAGTACGAAATTACCTTATATTAAATAAAGCGTTTATTTAACAAAGACCATGCGTCTGTTTGACATAGATTGTTTACATCGCATACCATAGAAATCACAGAAAAATAGAAAAAAATGAACAAAAAATAGCATATTCTCATAATAATTCCAAGATTGTTTACATCGCATACCATAGAAATCACAGAAAAATAGAAAAAAATTAACAAAAAATAGCATATTCTCATAATAATTCCAAGAACTATATAGAAGTAAATGGACTAAAAGAGAAATAAACTACATAATCCAGGTAAATGCAATTTTATATGCATCTTCATTTACATCTACATAATCCAGGTAAATGCAATTTTGTATGCATCTTGATCTTCATTTACATCTAAATATTTCCAAAGGTTTATCGTAACCTTTTGGCAAATAATAGTATGGTTGTATATTTAAATGCATTTTAAGTTTTCCGAGGAATGCTGATAGATGTATCCCACTGTAGTGTGCATGTGGAGTGGACCCCAATGAACACAATAAACGTATTTACACTTTTGGTATTTAGCTATATTTTGCCTCCGAATGACCTTAGATCTACTCCGAATCACCTTTTGACGTCAGGCAACAATCATTTTTTATTTGTGACGTCAAATGTTTTGAATTATGATGTCAAAGTTTACGGGAACCTGTGATTTTACGTAATGGTAGACAAATTTGCATACAAGTGTAAATACGTCTATTACCAAAACAGTGCTTAGGTCGGAGTGGAACTGATCTGGGTACCGAAGTCTAAAGAAGGTCATTTTGCAAAGAATTCTGCTCAAACCAGTGTTAGAGGCCGTCTTAAACTTGCAGTGAGGTGAAAGGTTTTGTTTTGCTCCGTGTTAAAGGCCTCCCTAGGACTTTGAGATGAAGAACAGCAATAAAAGCACTGTTCTTTTGCTTTTTGTGTGTTTTTTGCTGTGCATGTACTGAATTGTGTCATGGATGGATACCCCATATCCTTTGTTTTTCTATTATGGAATGTTTTAAAACTTGGAAGTAAGCTTTTGCAAGGTCAAGAAATAGAATCTGAAAAAAAAGGTTGATTTTTTTGGATTTTTTTAATGTAAAAGGACTAAGTATTTTAGCAATCAGCATTACACTTTTAGATCAACAGCAGCATATGCAAGCAAGACACAGGGTTCAACCTCTGTGTAACCCTTTACTTTCATGAGCAACACTAAGGGTGCCACTACTGGAGCAGAATCTGCTTACTTTTATGGAGCCTCAGTAGGAGAGATTACGAACAATTAATTATACATTTGCTAGAATTGATAATAGAAATCCTTGATTTCCTTTTTTGTTTGATAATGCAAATTTTATAATTGGTAGGTAGAAACAAGATATGTCTGGATCTCTGTCTGTTGTGTCATTTGAGGGAGAACTCAATGCCATTGTACAAGAGGTAAGTTATTAATAATTAGACAAATATTTTTGGTTACATCCTATAAAAAAGTGCTATTTTAGTTTATATATAATGAATGCAGTAGTCAAGCCTTTTAGTCTAATAGTTCAATTAATGATTTGAGGTGGACAACACAGAATTTTGAAGAGAGAGTTTAGAGTTATCAAAAAAGAAATGTTTAGTTATGCTGTAAAAATCATCATTTAATTTCTTATTCTATCTAGATGTAAAATATTTGATTTGCAAACTTTATTTCTGTGAAGTATGAGTACTGTCAAAAACAAAACGAATGTTATAAATCTTATTACAAAGTAGAAAATGTAGTACATTTGTAGGTTTGGTTCAGGAAAGGCCCTTTCGGGCCTCAAATATTAAGTCCATTGTTGTAAAATGAAAAGTGCTTTAATTTAATGCATACATGTATATTCACGTACATGTATGTGAGAAAGTGAAATGTGAAGATTTTTGTCCTGATTTTCTTACAAAGCTTTGTCAGTTACACCCCAATTGGGTAGAACCACAGGCATTTGTCTCAGAATTTTTTTTTTTTGATATTAAGGTGTAAAGGAAAAATTTTTTCTGAGACAAGTGCCTGTGGGTAGAACATAGAGATTTTTGTGAAAGTTGACAACATCTTCTGGATTTCATCTACAATTAGGTCTAAAATAAAGTGCAGGTTTTACCAAACTGAATTTTCAAGTCAGATAAAGTATTTGTCATAATTACTAACATAATTTTAAAAAGTCACTATATGTTTGACAAACATTTTTTAAAAATCTTTTTTATTGATGCATACACTCTATGTTTGCGATCCCAAAAACCTATTGAAATTTGCATTGGAAGAAATTTAAGTTGTACATGTATGCTAATTATGCATGACATCATAAAAAGAACACTGATACACTCGTCACTGTCACAGTAAACTTTCAAACAAAAATACCCATATCCTATCCATAGTTTTACAAGTTAAGAATTGACCAGTTTTTACTAGCTACTTTTGTTCATCAGATACTTTGTTGGCCATGGGAATTGATTGACAATGAGCTTGACCTTGTACTATTGTATATTTCAGTACCTGGAGTTTGTGACATTTGACAAGACGTTGGTATCTTTCCAGAAAGAATGCGAAACAAAGCAGAAACCTATCACTACACAGAGTATAAAGTCTAAATCAAACCAGAAATTACTGGCTATACAGGTATTCAGTTGTTATGGTAATACAAATCCTTGATTTAAACAGAAGGCATGTGCCTATACAGCTATTCTGTAGTCATGGTAAAAGAAATATAAGTATTTGTACTCAGATTCGGATAACAAAATACTGGTCATACATTTAATTGGTTGTCATGGTAATAGAAACAACTGAATACTGAACACACTAGGTGATGCAGTAAAAAAAAACACTCTAAGCTTGCTGATGTTTAGGGATACACTGTCATACAAGGTAATTGGAGGCGATAACAATCTATTCTACAACCTCATCATAAATAGTCAAATGTAATTGGAGGAAGATTTCAGAGTGAATCACCTAAGATCACCAGCATTCACTAAAAATTCACCAGTAATAGTGATTTGTAATTGAATCACAGAATAAAGTCAAATTCAAACGAAAAATAAATAGGCAATACAGAAAACCAAAAAATAAAATATATATAGTGCAATTTCTTTATTCATTTAGAATTAACTGTTATGATTACACAAAGGCAAATCTACACTAAACAAATTATTAAATTTCCAATAAACATGTTATTATGATTTTTGATTGTCCGTTTTGTGTCATTGGGCCTGGTTGGCCAAGTGATCTAAATAGTTCATCTACAGTGGTTACTAGCCTTTGTACACTCAGGTTGTAAGTTCGAACCCTGTTAAGCCAAGGTTTGTTTGACTCAAATCTTAATCGCCTTGGATTGCAAGTTTTCATGCTGAATGCAATGGATTTTCTGGATACTCTGACTTCCATCACAAATAAAAAATGGCCCTCGTTATATAGCCAAGTGTACTGAAATAGGCATTAAACACAAAAAAAAAAAAAACAATCACCTTCTTGTGCTTCTTTTTTTGCTGGGCTGTTTTCTGCTCCTTGGTCGGGTTGTTGTCTCATTGACACATTCAATAATAGCATTTCATAACAAAAAAATCAAAATATTAAATTCTTCATCAAAATGAAACATATAGTTTTTCATTATTCAGGAATAGTTGATGCTATGTTAATAAAACAAAACCCCCAAAAAGAACGACCAAATCTACTCGATGATTATTTTTTATCCATTTGGAAGATTCCAAATAATGAAATTTTTTAAAGCTGTCATCTTTGAATTTGTTTTCACATGTTTTGTATGAACTTTTGTTTTTAGAATGAATTGATGCAAAATTTCCATAAAGGAAAGAGAGACATATTTCTGAAGTTATAGAGTGAAAATTTGGCAGCCTCTGTCAAAGACCAGGACCCAGTGGCAAAGAAACTAGAATTTTATGTCAATATATATTTTGCTGTGTATCCAATAAAGTTTGCAAGAGGTCAGGTAAGATAATTTGTGTGAAACCATGTTAGTATATCCTTTTCAATATTATTGTACAGATATATATGATATCTGGACCAGAATCAAAATGGTGGTAAAATATTTATAATTTTTGCTGTATTATCTGTAATGTTTTATACTGTGAATACATTTTTTTTGTTGATTGAAGAAAAATTGTAGTTTCTTGGATATTTGATTTTGAGGTTTTGCCAAAAATCTGCATATAAACCAATAGTAAATTTGTACTTCGTTGAACTTTAAAATTTGTGGTTTCCCTTTACCAAGGAAATCCACAAAAACTAATATCCCATGAATAATAATTAATATTCAGTAATATGAAGGTAACAGCCATGTTGATTTTTCTTTATAGAGAGATGCTGACAGAGCTATGGGAGATTTTAAGAAGTACATAGAAACCCGAGGTGCTACACTGAGTCAGACAACAGAGTTTTTACCATACTATGCTTTACCATTTGTACCCAATGCCAAGGGACATCCATCTTATAAAGAATTGTTCACAGTATGTACAAATGTACATACATCTTATAAAGTATTGTTCACAGTATGTACATACATCTTATAATGAATTGTTCACAGTATATACATACATTTTACAAAGAATTGTTCACAGTATGTACATCCATCGTATAAAGATTTTTTCACAGTATGTGCATTCATCGTATAAAGAATTGTTCACAGTATGTACATACATCTTATAATGAATTTTTTACAGTATGTACATACATTTTACAAAGAATTGTTCACAGTATGTACATCCATCGTATAAAGAATTGTTCACAGTATGTACATACATCGTATAAAGAATTGTTCACAGTATGTACATACATCTTATAAAGAATTAATCACAGTATGTACATCCATCTTATAAAGAATTGTTCACAGCTTTTACATACATCTTATAAAGAATTGTTCACAGTTTGTACATACATTCTTTTCACAGAGGCAAGACAGAGTTAAATTTCTCAAGGAAATACAAGGGTGAAAAAAAAAGTTTATACGAAAAAAAGATGCATATTGAACCCCACTGTAAAAAAAAGACAAAATTTCTGTAACATATATAGCATTGGCAAATATAAGAACCAAAATTGAAATCCAGAGGTCAAATCATGAACAAGGGAAATCAAATGCAACCAAACAATTCAAGTTAAAGGTAATTCATTAACAGACATGTATACAAAAAATGTATACACAAAAAAAAGCTTTAAGCTCTCATAAGAGAGAGTGTTTGTACATAAATAAATGAAGCTTTGATTAAGTAGTGTTTTAGTACTTGCATGCACTCTGTAATGAAAAATTTTAAATGTTTACCAAGAAAAGCAACAAATATGCATGTACACTACTCACAGAGAGTTTGTAATCGCGAACTCTAATCACGGATTTCGGAGTGTAGCGGTGTCACACCGCGAATCACGGATTATACTCCCAATTTCCTCCAAAGATTCTCTCCCAACACCGCGTGGCTGTTAATTGGTTTGTTGCCCATCGGATGTACTGAAAATTAATGACGCTTGACAACATAATCGGATTAGCCAGATTTATTACCTTTGTACATTTAATCGATCTTGATTGCACCTGTGTGCTTTAAAACACGGTATTAAAATTTCCTTTCTTTGACAGATAAAAATGTGGCATTTTCATTCAAAATAAGATAATTATTCTTTGTATGTATTTGCCCCATGTCATTGTCATTTGAAATAAAACGTACAAACGTACATTATAAAAATACGAATAAAACACTTATTTTGTATTTTTATTATAGTCCGGTCAAAATGATGTTTTTACTGTAATTTGTCCAATCTAAACACAAGAGTTAATTTATCGGATCAACAAGTGAACTCTGTTACTTTCAATTTATTTTGCAATGTAAAATATTATGTTTCACTACCTCGGTAGATTACCGACTTGAAATATTTGAACTCAGAAAAGAAACTGTAAAGTGACAACTCTGTTGAACGAAGGGAAAACGTTTTGTATGCAATGTGCCCTATATTCATAAAAACACAACACTGAGAGACATTCCCCGCCCAGACACAACACAATAATCACAACCTAATTTAATTATATGAAGAAAAAAAAATCATGTGTTGTTTATCTCTGTTATGATCTGTTATTGATCCTTTATTATTAAAAATAAAATTGGAAGGGCGCAATCCGTATTTTACTGCTCGTTAAAAGTCCTTGGCGAAATAAAAAAAAGAAGTATTTCAACAATTAATACTATAGAATATTTAAATGAAATTATATCGTGTTCTACAAGAAAGAAATATGTGAAAAAAATGTGGATCGGATTTTTACGATCTACAGATTTTCACAGAGGATCTCTACCAACGCCCAACAGGAACTGAACGACATGCATCCTGTTTTCATCTACATTTATGTATATTGTTGACCATGGACGTATAAATAATGTCCAGGTTTATGTCCTGTGGTGACTGAGAAACGTAAAATTAAAAGGCTGGTGTTCGTTTATTCAGAAAAGGATTATATTTTAGATTCCGGTTAATCAATTGTAAAAGGACCTTCTAGAGCCTCAATCTTAAGGCATACAAATGTCAATCATTCCAAAGCAAATTTAAACCCCGAATGAATTTTCCCACGGTCATCCAGAAAGGTCACCTGAGTTTACCGTTACATGATAATATTTCCCGCCAAATAAAAATCTCGTGGACAAAATTTATGTCACTATTTTTAGCATTCAATATTGTGAGCGAAGTCAAGTTCAAAGTTCAACCACGGACTGTTGATCACTGAGATGTGTATCGTCTTCCCACGGCAATTAATTTCTTTTAAAAAATTTAAAAATCACTGTCCTTTATACAACACACAAGTTTACATTCATTGTGCGTAAATGAATATTATGCAACGAGGAGTTGATGCAGCTATAGAAGTATTCCTGTTGTAGCCGAAATGTAATTATTTATCCTAAAGTAATGCCAACAAATCGTAAAGAGAAAATGCCGTAGACTTATTAAGCATAACGAATGGTGAATAGTATTTTCTTTTTTACTTGCATATACAAATTTTGAGACACATAATTTTCTTTAAATTGCTCACTTTTATATTCAGCGTTAGTTTACTGTTTATTTTTACGCAAGTATGTCTCTTTTCGTAAATAAAATAATTTACCGATGAACTTAAACAAGGTCAAAATCAAGTATAGTTTTTGTTATAAAACTTTAATGCAATTGAAAGAATTAACAACAATATTCTGCTTTTAAATCTTTAATTTGTTTCAAGCAATTATGTAATCGTAAAATGAAAATGGCGTGGACTTATTAGCATAACGAATAGTGAATAATATTTTCTTTTTTACTTGTATAGAAAACTTTGAGACATGTAATTTTCCTTTAAACTGCCCACATTTATTTAGCGTAAGTCTCCGTTTATTTTTACACAAGTATATCTCTTTTGTAAATAAAATAATAATTTACTGACCAGAATAAAAACAAGGTAAAAATCAAATATAGTTTTTTTTTAATAAAACTATTTTTAAATGTACAGTGTAATTGAAAGAATTAACAACAACGTTTTGCTTTTAAATCTTTTATTTGTTTCAAGCAATCAGAAATATAACCTGATTATCAATAGACAGGAAATACAATTGTTTAATTACATAAGTAATCTCGCATACCTTGACTGTCGCGTGCCGGTATAGATCAGAAGGATTAGGGCAATTAATTACCTGGAGTGACACCGCGTCACACCGGACTGGGAGAGATGTCGCTTATACAATAAACAAAAGGTAGCGAATTTACGCGGAAGTCGGAGGGAATACTCCAAAATTTCTACGAGAATTTAGGGAGGGATGTCGGAGTTTCCTGGTGTCACACAAAGAAAAAACTTGGTGTGTTGAGTTTGGGAAGCCTTTTGCGAAATTTGTACTGTACTTTCCAAAAAACACTAGTGATACTTTGAAGTCATAATTACTATTATTTTATATTCATTATTGATGAAGTCCTCAGTGTCCATGTCGTGTTATGTCAACATGAATACAGGCATATAAGTGAATCTAATAGAGACAAACTGGATGACATATTAGGCCAAATAAGCCCTGATGAGAGTTACAAGTCCTCTGTTATCCCTGATATTGCAGCCACAAGCTTATATATTATGATATTTTACAGGGGACAAGATTCACCATTATTAATGCAGTTACCATGTATTAAAAGTATCGCTTTGGTGATCTCCTGGTAGCATGTTTGTCTCAAGTGCAAGAGTTAAAGGTATCAAACCTCGGTTGAGTCAAACCAAAGACTTTAAAATTGTTATTTGCTGCTTCTCCACTAAGCATGCTGCATTTAGGAGTAAGATATCTAGAGCAAAGACTGGTCGGCTTAGCTTCAGATAAATGTGTTCATGTAGGGTGATATGTCTTCATGTGGAGTGTTAACTTATTAAAATACCACATTAAAAATCAGGCTTTGAGTGTCTGTCTTGTAGAAAGCAGGGTTTATATTAATCTCATATTATCATGTTCTTGTCCTGAATATGCATTTAATTTGCCACTGGACATTAAACAGCCGTGATTTATAAGCTAATATTTTGACATCTATTTCCAGGACACATGGGTAAAGGATTTAGAGTTAAGACTGGAAAAGTTCCTGACATTAACTCTGAAGTCAACACCACAACCAAAACTGTTCGATCTTTATGTATCCTTTTAAAAAAAGATAATAGCATTATTTTTTAGTCATAGAATGGCTCTTACCATACCTTCTTCTTTGACAATTATACAGAACAGATATTGTGTGAAACAATTTACAGCTGTTTTTTTTTTTCTTAACATCCAATCAGAGAGGAAATAAAGTTGGCGATGAAAATGGTGAGATATCTTTATTGTAAAAACTTTACTGAAGTTGTGTGTCTTGTAAATAGATATCCTTAGCACATACTTATAGAAAGTTCAGAGTGAATCAAATACAATCACTAGCCACTGAATTAACTTGTGTAAACTCTTTGAGGAGATATAAATGGAATGGAATGTAGTTTTAACAACTAAATCGGAAGATAAATCTGAATATTTATTACTGAATAATATAATCTTCAGTTAGGGTTGTTTCAGTATAAAATATGTGGGATTAGGTATATGGTAAAAAATTCAAAGATGAAGGCATTTTTTTCAGAATCCCCACTTGAATTTGTAATGTAAAAATATATTCTGGAATCTGGACCCAGCCACTAATCAAAATGTATATGCATAAACCTTCAATTAGACCCTCTAGATAAACTTTTTTCTGGAATATCCTAAATACTAGCATGACTAGATAGATACCCTTTAATTTCTGAAATAGGATTAAAAAAATGAAATGCTAAGTTCATCTATTTTTTTCTGGCAATATTTTAAGCTTCCAAATAATTTCATTTAATATTGGAAATGATATTAAAATACAGCCAAAGATGAACTTAAGGTCTGTAGACTGTATTGTAGCTGTACAATGTCATACCCAGATGTCCAGAAAAAAAAATCGCTAATCAAGCCTATAACTTTTAGCTTTCTTATGATTTTATGTTTTGATTTTAACATTTTTCAATAGAGCAATTTCAACAGATATCCCGATTACAGCAGCAGTTAGTCGACTCTGAAAGAAAGACCATGTCATACATAAAACGACACAACCGTGTACAGGTACCTCTAACACTCAATCCTTACTGGTCTAACATGCATGGACATTGTTCATTATTTATTTTGCATGCTAATTTTGGACTTGAACGAACCTCATATTAGTACATACTAATCAAATTGGTAATCCTCCTTCACCTAAAATTTTAAACATGTTACAAGGCATGAGAAAGAATACATGTAAAACATCATGGTAAGTAAGGTCACACCAATGTCATTTTTAAAACTTTGACATTTTACATGCAAATATGCATGTAACCAAGTTTCCTTCTGAAAATTTAAAGGTTTAAATATGTGTGCATATTTGAAAAAAAAAAGAAAGATACAAGACATTTAAGTCACATTAGTAATAGTAAAAAGAAAAGAGAGGGGTAGGAGGGGTGCCAACCGGAATTCCAGTTCTTTCCCAGATCATGAAATATTAATTCCTGAGTCCAAATAAGTGAAATTTCCAGCAAAAAAAAAGGCATACTCCCTATGTCCTGAAAAAGATCTTTCCACCCCTCCTAAAGCTAATCCATAGAAATGAAAATCATTGGTGTGATCATAGCACATGTTAAACCTATGTGTAGTTACCTCAGGTTGGAATAATAATAGTAAAATATTAGTTAGAAATCTCTCTCTAAATCATTGTAAGATAATATCTTCTTTCTTGCATGTATTTTCAGTATTCTCACTGGTAAGTTGTCTTTTCAATCTGTTGTCTTTAATGTTTTGTTTGTCTATGTAGCTTTTGTATTATTTTTACAAATCATGAATATAAATAAAAGGTGATGTATGACATACATCAATGAGAAAACAGTAGTATAGTTAAAGGTCAGATAAGTGTGGAAATAGATGTCATTTTTTGTGTGTAAATATAGATACAATGCTGGTCGATAACTTTTTTCTGTCCTGTAAATCTGTCAATATTTATGTTGACTGAGATTCATATATATAGAAGGTAAGTCACTTTAGGTCACTGTACTGCCTTCAACAATGAGTAAAACCATACCGCATAATTTATTGTTTGTATTTACAAAAGTGAAAACTTTGACAACAATGAACAATATTCCCTAATTCTATTTTTCCTTTTTAATTTGTGCATTATATTTCAATTATTTTTTAATAGAGTTAAAATTTTCTTTTCAAGTTTATAGATGAAATTACCTAATATGTTATTTTTAGATGGGCATTTCTATTTATTGCATTTTGATGATTTTAATTATTTCTTTGAAACTGTGAATGAAAAAAAATGTTGCTACTGACTTATTAAAATTAGCTTGAGTTTTTTTCCCTACATTGCTATACTATTAATTAAGTCTCCCAAACGAAGTATGGGAAGACTTATTGGTTTTGCTCAGTTCTTATTATTATTATTATTCTTCTTCTTCCTTTTCCGCCGCTTTTAAATTTGAACTTGTCCGCACCCGTTCTCCAAAACCACTTGTAAGATTAACTTAGGGTTTCACAATATGTTAGACTAACATGTCTAGTGGTGCAATCAGGGTTTTGTTTGTGCAATGGGGTTTATAAAGGGGTACTTTGAGGGGCAAAAAGAAAGGAGGGTTTAACTATAGAACCCTATGGGATTTTATTTTTTAAAATTTTCAAATGATTATAAATTGAAAACCGTTTGTGATAGACACAATCTTTTGAATTGAAAATGTTCTAAATGATAAAGCACATTAAATGAAATACAGGGTTAGTCCCCAGGGGTCACCCCCACCCCCTGCCATTTAAGAAAGTTCTAATATCTTGTAAATGGTCGAGATTCCCACCCCTAAACCATATATATTCTGGTTTGTCATGCTAAGATGGTTTGAATGATATACAGGGTTAGTCCCCAGGGGTCATCCTGACCCCCTGCCATCTAATATCTTGTAAACAAATTGTTATATAGTCGACTCAACTTAATCGCATACCATTAAGGCATTTGATTACATATTTCGATTAACTGCCTAATTTTCTCTTGCATAAAACCATTTCCTATTTATGTACCGGTAGTAGAATGACCAACATAAGAAATTTAAAATGGCTTAAATTTGACTCGACCAATCTGCTACCTCAAAACACATTCATAACACGTTTGTGTTAATATTCAGTATTTCTTTTTGTTTCAGATACTTTAACCTTGGATACTTGGTCCCTTAGCTGACAATGCCCATCACTGAAATTTATTCATCATCGAAGTCAATCATCTCTCAGATATTTGGTCCTTTCTGATGATGACCTTCATTGATATCTATCATCAATCAATCGATATCATCCCTTGGACTCTAGGCCCTGACTAATATTAGTTGTTTATTACGTAAAGCACTATGGATTTTACCATGTACTGCTGTCTCTGTAAAACACCTATCTAATCCAATCAAGAAACTAATTTGAGAAATTTGTAAATTCACCCAGCGCTTTCAACATTTACACATTGTAATCAAAAGCCTTTATGCTACAATTCATTACTCATTAATTTTATAGCATTGCTTACACAGACGTTAAGGAAAATGGCTGCCTACTAAACCAGTTATTTCTACTGCTAAATTAATAATATACCATTTCAAATGCTTATTAGCTTAAAAAGTAACAACAAGCTGACAAACTAAAGTCTATCAAGATAATTCAGTAGCGACATTTTTTTATACATTAATTGTATTTCTATGTAGCCATTGGCAAACTATGAATGCATCTTGGAAAATTTAGATGTAAAAACTAAATTATGTCAATAAGGCAGCAGCAAACCAACAAGTTGAACAAACACACAAAAAACATTTGGTAAAACATAAACAATAAACAAAAATTTCAGTACAATTTTAAAAGTGAAAACTGATATTTTTTTACCTTGGCCTTCACTTTTTCATTTCAAATGTCTTATGAAATATTCATCACAACTGTGGTTAATTATGCATCAACATGAGGTAAAACGCATTTTTGTCAAACAAACCAAAAGATCATTTTTTCTTCTTGACTTAAATGTTACATATCATGGACACATTTACAAATATCTAGCTAAGAATTTCGTTGTGGACTGTAGTTATTCATCCACTAATTTGTCAAATATGAGGGGGGGCGAGACCATTTTCGGGACGCCGGGATCGGCCGATTTTAGCAACGGGTAATCGGGATTGCCTTGTTTAAAGATCGGGAATTCGGGATAGAAAAACATCGGGATACGGGAAAGCCACGTTTTTAGCCACGGGAAATCGGGATTTTTATGTTGAAATATAACGGGATTGACAAAAAACTGTACCTTGGACAGATAAAAGTGCCATTTTCATTATACTTTAATCAGAATCGCATCTAGAAACAGAGTAGACAAAACGATTCCAGTGCTTGTCATATAGGTTCTTGTATTGACTTGAACTGGAATTTGGCCAATTTTCTGACTGGCTACTGAAGATTTATGAGAACAAAAATGCTTATATGCAGCTTGACGTCACGGTAATATTGATAATACATATTCGGATTGGTTACGCTGAAAGACTAAAAAATAAACATCAATCATACCCGAGACGTTTAAATCGTAAGCATTGAAACTTTAAACTTTAAAATTGGGGAACAAATTTATCGGGATCTGGATTTTTAACAAAATATGTCCGGGATTTCGGGATTTTCAGATATTAAAACTCTGAAATCAGGATGAGACCCCCTCTCGCTGGTTATGAGTAAAGTCGATTATCTAATGTGGTATTTGGGAAATAACAATTTTAAACAAATTTATTATCCTAAATTCCATATTTGAGCTGTTTTTCTTTTGTATTGACTATACTGTAAACGTTTAATGTGCTATTATCATTGTACTAATTTTGCCCATAAAGGGTCCTCTATTGGAAATTAAATTTATCTTAACTTATGATGATTTATCTTAAATGCAATCAAAGAAAGTGTCCTGTTTAATTTGATTAGGGGTCTCACTGAGGGTCTTTTCACTGTCCCTACAATATTGCACAGTATTTCTTTTAGATTTCTTTGCCTGATATAGTTTATGGTTTGGTGATATTACCTCACAGCTGTTTTCTTGAATCAGATGAAGTTCGATCGACACCAGGCAGAAAAATCTACTCAAATGGATACTAGGGACGGTCATGAACTTAAAGTACTGTCGATTCTCTAATATTCGTTGGAAACCAAATATCATAAAGTTAAATCACGAATTCAAATGTTCAACGAAATACAAATTTTTCATAGGCTTGTAAGCAGTTATCTACAAAACCTCGAAATCCAATATCCATGGAAATACTAGTTTTCCTCAATCCACGGAAATTGGTATCCAATGAAAATAAACGAATCCACAGTAAGGTGTGACAATTTGCTCAGTTTTAAATGCGTCAGTGTAATTTTGAGACAAAAAACAGCACAAAAAGCTGGCTGTTTTCTGCTCTTTGGTCGGGTTGATGTCTCTTTGATACATCCCCCATTTCCATTTTCATTTTTATCCTTTGCTTTTGGAATGTAGTGATTTTATGTGATGAATTGATACTCTCTCTTATTATCTTCAATTGATTTGATTGACTTTTGGTGTTTTAACGCCACTTTTAAGCACCGCTTTTTGGCTAATTCGTGGCGGCCAGTTTTTATTGGTGAAGGAAGCCTTAAATAAGTTTAACATTTGTATTTAAATATCTGAAGCTGTTCATGAAGTCTTTTAATTGTGTTTGAAAACATACAAAAAATATTCCTTTCAAAAAAGTTAAAGAGAAAAAATAAAATTAGATGTTTTGTATTAAGCTTAGCATGTAACATGTAGTGCTTCAGCGTATTCAATTATTTTTGAATTATGCAACAGGATGGCAAACCATATTGTGCTTCTTAACCTCAAGAAATCATTTTACGATTCAGTGAAATGAATGCATATCAAAAATGTGTTTTTGAGAATAAATTCAATGGTTTAATATGATTAATTGTACAGCAAATTTATTTATTTCCTTAAAAGATTACTGCTGCATATTAAAACCAATACTTGAAAAAAAATTTTTTATAAAAACATTCACTATTCATTTGTTAGTAAAAAGTATCTGTAATCCAAATCTGATTTCAACTTTAAACACAAAAGGATTTTCATGTTTATTTTCAAATATCATTGCATTTGTAAACTGTTGTGACAAAAACACAAAAATAGGCTAAAAATAAATTCACTCTGAATTTGGAAATGTCATGTGTGCATTTATTTTCAAATTAACAAAATTTCATGGCAATTGGAATGATACCAAACATTACCACTATTTTAAGTTTGTTATGAAGACAATCTTGAAGGTCAATGGACTATATTCACCATTCATATGTGAAACAAATTCTAAATTTAAAAAAAAATGTTTTTAAGTTCAATACATATAAAATGTGTTTTAATTATCACATAATTTGTTATACAAAACATCAAAAGTCTTAATGAAGACAAAAATTAAATATGTATTGATCCTTCATTTTCAAGTATGTGTGACTTAAATTTCAAATTATAAACACAAAACCTTAAATATTTATGTGTTTGAATAACGACAGCATTTGTTTTACCAAACATTGTAGGTCTGTGATGAAGACTTCACAAAGTCTGCCTAACAACACAAGCAAATGGGTAAATATTTTTACAATTAAGTTACATTATCAAATTAAATAGTGGCAAACTGAGATGAAAAATATGTAAATTTGTGTCTACTGTCCTACTGGAAGATACATTAGTAGCAATAAGTGGATTTTAAGAAGTTAACGTGGTGTCAATGTTGCAATAAATTTATCATTTGTCTGTGATGTTTGACTAAACCTATATACATTGAAAAGAATTGATAATATTTAAAGGACAATATTAATGAATAGATTTTTGGACCTCATCAATGTGTGTTGACTGAGGACAAAGAATGAGGTCAATATGTGTTCATTTTATATATCAACAAGTCTTTTAAGTAACACTACATTAAACAGAAGAAATATGAAATTACATGTTATTATGTCATGGACTAAGAACTGAGACTACCATGGGTCACTAACAACTAATCCCTTGCATCTTTTCCTGTAAAACTGCACAAGCATAGTATCATACAACTCCAGAATCACTGACTATTTTTCGATTTGCTTTCATATTAACATTGGTGGGGAATCACTTTTCAACTACAACAACTTATTATTTATATTGACAAGCACTTAAAATCCAAGCCAGAGGTCAGTGTTTGAAGGGTACTCTTAAATAATGACAATTTACAAGGACGGAATCATAACACACATTATTAAAGTTGCTGAATTCCAGTAAAAATTAAAATTAAGAGTGATCTTAAATTATTAATTGTGAGAGAATATCTTTTGAAAATGAAGTATACTGTAAATTCAGAAATTATTGCCAGCAATAATTATTGCATTGTTGACATGACCAACCAAACTTTAAGATTAATTATTGCGATTTCAGAAAAATTGCATACAGATATATTCATCAGATATCAGAATGGGAGTTCTTATCATTGCCATACTCACCTAGTCAGATTATTCGCATGAATAAAAACCTTGCAGTAATTTCTGAATTTACAGTCATTAGTGGGAAAAAAATTTAGAGTAGGTCATAGGTCATAGTTGCTGTTTCCTCCCCTCCCTCCACCTCAACTAAAGTGTTAAAAGGCTGTTTCATTTTATTTATCATCTGTTTCCACATTTATTTATTTTGTAAGTGCCAAAACACAATACTGAATGCTTTTTATTCTGAACCTGATCATTATCGGAACAGAAATCACAAAGTAATCAGTATATAAGTATGATGGATGAGTTACTAAATAGCTTTCCCAGAAACCCTGTTAACAGCTTTTTCAATAACACCAATCTATTACATCAAATAAACTGCCAATCGTTACAGCGGATGATGAGTGATTGAACGGTAATTGCTTATAACCAGCAAAAAGAAACACGATATGTTACTGTCGGGGTGCTTCTAACAACCAATATCCTACAACGATAAGACGCAGGAGATATGTCCACACCGTTCCATGTCTCCGTAATAATTGTATCAGAGCAAAATACCAAGTATTGATTTTTTTTCACTTAATCGGAAAATAACAATTGGGTTATTACCACTGAATTTTGCCGAGATGATCCAAAGAGCTGCAATTTCAGTCGATGTTTGAAATCACTATACCAAAGCCGTAGTGATGTATGAACATGAATCTGATTATCATCAGGAAAGACAATAACTGTATATTTGATAGTTTTACAGAGCAATCTATAATCAATATGCTATTTGAGGTTTGAATCAGGATAAAAGTCTAGATGGAGAGATATTTGATGTAAATAACAAATAAAGGCAATCAATAGCTCAAAACTTAGGAAGATATTTTATACAATTAAATCCTGTCATAGATTTTTGGACTTCATAAATCAAGATCTATATCTACTGAGGATGAAGTTTGAGATCATTATTAAGCAATGCACACAATTTTGGAAATTATATTTATTGACTATAGATTGGATAACAATTAAAAGAAGTATTAATCAAATGGATGTGATAAATGGGTATTGAAAGCAGACAAAGTTTGTAGCCATGAAATAATTTTATAATAAAATAATTGTTTTTCAATATAAACAATAGTAAATACATTTAACTTTTTGTATTACTGAACATTGACAGAAGACCTATTATATTATATATCTATTTCAGCCACTACAATAATTGTGTTTTTGTCAGACGACCTGTTATATTATATTTCCATTTCAGCCAATATGAAAAATTTGTATGACAAAGGACATGATATATTAAGTATCTATTTCAGCCAATATGATAATTGAGTATTGATAGAGGACCTGATATATTTTATATCTATTTCAGCTAATATAAATTCTATTTCATACAGCATTGTAAATGTGTAGAAAGATATATATATATATATGAGTCTAAATTGAAAACAACATTCAAACCTATGATTGCGTTGGATAAAAACCGCAATTTTTATACGTGTGCATGCAAAACAAATTTCTTGGTAGAGGGGTCTAAATACAGCACAAACAACAATTTCCAAAAGACCAAAAAAGATTTATATATATATGTATATATTGTAAAATTCTTTCAAAATATGCATTTACAACCTAATAATACAAATTATTTTTGCATTCCTGGACATGATACATTGTGTATATGTGTATTGACAGAGGAAAGTGTTGATTCCAATATAAATTGTATTAAGACCCCTCTAACGAAAAATTTGTTTTGCATGCACACGTATAAAAATTGCGGTTATCCAACACAATCATAGGTTTGAACATTGTTTTCAATTTAGACTTGTTTATATTTTTTTTGTTTGGGCTTGTATTATATTTGCCTTCGGGTTTATATGATCTGTTCATCTTATTTCGACTCTTCAAAATTCAAGAGTCTATCCTAAATTGGAGTAAATTATATGGCTTTCCAAATACAGTTTCGATTCTAACATCACTGAAGAGACATTAATTGTCAAAATCCGGATATGGTGTACTAATTTTTGCACCTTTTGTTTGCGGTACACCATCTTTTCTGCAAGTTTATTGTTTTCTGTTTGGTATTAAATTAATTATTAAGATCCATTTTGTTACATCTGGTGATCCGCTTATCTGGCAATCGCCAATGGCAGTCTGCAGAATTTTAGAACATCTGTTGTTCGACCTGCTAGTCAAATGCGTTTTGCTGAAATATACTTTTTCACTTTTTTGGTCTTTTGGAAATTGTTGTTTGTGCTGTATTTAGACCCCTCTACCAAGAAATTTGTTTTGCATGCACACGTATAAAAATTGCGGTTTTTATCCAACGCAATCATAGGTTTGAACGTTGTTTTCATTTTAGACTTGTTTATATATATATATATATATATATAAAGAAAAGTTAAGTAGAATCCGTATGCTGGTAACATATAAGAAAATAAATAAAAGATAATAACGGTTTCAATTCATCACTTTTACTAGCGCTTTCACAGCTTTTACAGATCTTCAGGTAATGTGACTTGTATACATAAGTGTTATACAAAACAATTGATTGACGTTAACAATAGTATGACGTTAACAAATACAAGGGAGACTACTAATGTCAATTAAAAAATTGAGTAAAGTCTTTAAAATGTTATTTAAGTAAAAAATAAAATATTATTTATCATTTAATCCCTGGTTGAGAATGTTTATGAATAACTCTTCTTTCTTCTTCCGGAGAAAATCATTTTGACGATTCACCACATACACAATGGAAATATCTTAAATCGTCCATTAGAACAACGATGAAAATGGTCGTTAGACCGGATGATTGTTTAATCTTCATGGTTGGTTTGCTGCCTATGAACAGTCATTCTAGTACGCAGTTCATTTTTTGTCTCTCCAATATAGAATTCCTCACAATATGAACATATGAGAGAATAAATGACGTTTGAACGGTTACAAGACATGTATATATATATATATATATATATATATATAAACAAGTCTAAATTGAAAACAATGTTCAAACCTATGATTGCCTTGGATAAAAACAGCAATTTTCATACGTGTGCATGCAAAACAAATTTCTTGTTAGAGGGGTCTAAATACAGCACAAACAACATTTTCCAAAAGACCAAAAAAGTGAAAAGTATATTTTAACAAAACGCATTTGACTAACAGGTTGAACAACAAATGTTCTTAAACCCTGCTGACTGCCATTGGGGATTGCCAAATAAACGGATCACCGATGTAACAAATGGATCTTAATTTTAAATTTAATACTAAATATATATATATATAGCATAGCATAGGCCTCCATATATATTTATATATTAATGTATCTTTAAGAAATTTGTTTAATTATAGTTTATATATATGATAAAATTGAGAATGGAAATGGGGAATATGTCAGAGACAACACGACCAAAGAGCAGAAAACAGCCGAAGGCCACCGATGGGTCTTCAACACAGCGAGAAAATCCCGCACCCAGAGGCGAGCCAATTTATATATAACTAGACCTAATAAATGCTTACTAACCTAAGCCAGTTATTCACAATATATAAAGTGTGGAAAATAGTTTAACAATATAATCAATATATAAATACATTCACCTGATAAATGTGAGGAAAAAAGAAAGAAATTTGAAAATTTTTTAAATTATATATAAAACTAAGTTCTTTCTAAAACACATATAGATGGTACTTTCTGATCAATTCAGAAAAAAATTATGACACAATGGAAAACACCATAACTGATGTGCCTTTCATTGTTTTTTATAAAATAGTTCTTACCGAGTCTTCATCTGTCCACTTCTTTTCAATGCTACGAAGGGCTGGAGACTTGACCAGAGCTTGCAGAGCTTTTCCTGTGTCATAGCTGTGATTATGTAACTGTAAATATCAAACAATTTGTATATTACATTGCAGCCTACAGATTGATAATATTGTTGTGGTGTGAATATCAATCAAACAGCAACACAACAACCCTAGCAAACTAAAGAATAAAAAAATTGTTCATTAATACTAATAACAATTTGCTGCCCATAACAAATAAGTAGAGGCTTCCGCTGCCTGAATTGCATTGTCTGGCATTTTAATCGGTAATCATTATATTTCGCTAAATTTCCTTGAAGCAGGATAAAATAACACTCACTGTATCCATAGCATTAATGGTGGTCTCGTCCATAGAGGCTGCCTGGCAACCATCATCTGTTGAGCCTCCATCACACATCCCTGTAAATGCTGCCACACTTCTGTAATTATAAATTAACAACTGTTGACATGGTTATAATTAACAACTGTTAACATGGAGGCAATGACAAATAACAACTGTTAACAAGGAGGCAATGACAATTAATAACTGTTAACAAGGATCCTTAAAACAAAACATTTCACAAGAGCTCATTATATTTGACATGTCAATTTGATATCATCACTGTTTCAAAATCTTGTGCATACTGGGTAATATTTTCAAAAGGGTACCTCAAAATGTTGTGATTGATTAACATAAACTGTTTACAGACAGATTTATCTCACTTTTTTGTAATTCTGATAGTATTACGCAAATGTTGAAATCAAAATATTTAAACATGTACACGATGCAAAACATTCAAATGAAATGAACTGTGACTGAAGGGGCAGGCCCAAGTAACCTCCATGAAAACGAGAAATACCAATGCATATAAACTTTATACCAAATACCATTGACTTACCAGAAGTGGTTTACTTTAATCTAACATAAACACAAACTTGTTAACTAAGCCAAAGTTTTAAGTCAATAAATCACGATGATGGGGCAGGGCATTATAATCTACATCGAAATGACTTTAAGATCTACACAATACAGATTATGATCTTGTAATATTTATCCCCCTCCCTAATCATGCTAGATTTTCGTCTGGGACTTTCAATATTCTGTATTGTAAGCTTACTTTGCAGCTCTAAGATACATCATCAAGTCCCCATCCACAACAAGCATAGGCCTCCATTTTGGGACCTCCCATGTCTCCATTTTTTCCGGCATCTGTGATGGTGGCACATTCTGCTGACAGACGGGTAAACGAGCCTGAAATAAAAACAGAAAACATTTACATTTCTGTCCAGAAAAAAAAAAACAATCACAATATGAACATTTTACCTCTTAAGTTCTTTAATCTCCCCTCACCCTCTAAACTTGGTAAAATAAATGGGGAATGTGTCCATGGGACACAGATGATAACCCCGCTTGCATATAATGTTAAAAAGGGATATAACTCAAGAATGGAAAAGTGACGATTCCCAAATTTGTACTTGATCTGAGTTTTGTGGTAATAAGCATTGTGTATAAGTTTCATAATATTTGGTTGAGGCAAACTTAAGTTAGAGAATGAAAAACGAAAAATTCAGCAATTTTTCCATTTATAAAGGGGCATAACTCTAGAACGGTAAAAGTGACACCACCAAAATTCAAACTTGATCTGTGTTTTGTGGTAATAAGCATTGTGTGTATAAGATTCATAACATTTGGTTGAGCCAAACTTTAGTTAGAGAATGAAAACGAAAAATTCAGCAATTTTTCCATTTGTAAAGGAGTATAACTCTAGAAAGGTAAAAGTGACGCATCCCAAATTCCAACTTGATCTGTGTTTTGTGGTAATAAGCATTGTGTATAAATTTCATAAAATTTGGTTGAGGCAAACTAAAGTTAGAGAACGGAAACCAATTTTGGGACGTACAGACAGTACAGACGGACAAGGGTAAAACTTAATGCCCCCTCCGCTACAGCGGGGGCATAAAAAAACACTGGATGTGAAAGTAAAGGTTTAAGAATTTCTACACACCCAGTTAAATCAATTTAAAATTTGTGCCATTTATCAAGTAATAGATTTTGTGACTATTTATGGATCATAAATATATATGCTGTAATCTCTGACTGAAAATACAATCTTCCAATAACTCTCCCGCCATCATCTCAATCAACATAAGTGTTAAAATATTGTGTCACTTTAATAATCTTCTAGAGACATTTGCCAAAGATTTCCTTGTTGTATAAGTATGCAGTTGTTTTTTCCCTTTGCCTAGGGATTAACAGCTAATATTTAATTCACTTGTGTTTGTGCCAGTGGACATAAAATATCTGATTTACAGCTGTATTGTTGTAATATATTAATTTACTATCTCGTTACATAACTACTGTCTAAAGACAAACAGATATTAAGTATGTGTAAAAGGAGATATGAGTTGGGGGTATACTTCTACGAGACAGCAACCCAATGATACTAAAAACACAACGACCCTAGATATCAACATTTAGCCTTAAATAAGACAAGTTGTACAGAATAAGTGTGTGTTTGAGAAGACTTTGGTTCTACTATTAGCCGTGTTACATATTCAAAAAATGTAAATACAATGTTACTACAAGCTTTCCTTCAATATTAACTTCTTGATGTCTTTTCGTGTTTTATTGTGTTGTTGGTATGCTGTCTCATTGACCTACTACTATAGGGGTGTTTAGCGACCTTGACTACCCATGAGGGTCTTAGACAGTCGGTCCATCATTGACCTATTCCCCAAATACCCTTTTATACATTTCTACTAAGTATTTAAATGTCATTAAAGATAATAAACTGCTCACCTATTGTAAGTTACCTGTCATTTGCACCTGACAAATGTAAATGTGATGATGTTACTTGAATTTTGTGGAAGTAATTTACATCATTTTCACAATAACATCTTACTTTGTCTCCAACAGTTATGCACCGAACATCAAAATAATAACCAAAGACTAACACATCGGTATTTACTGCTTCTCCTTCGAACGCAGCATTAAGGAGTAAGAGCAAAGACTTGTCAGCTTAGAGTCAAAATAATGTGTCATGGTAGGGTGACATGTCTTCCTGCGGACTAGACTGTTACCTTGTGAACTAGCACGTTAAAAATCCCGTTCAGTATGGGGTTTAGTACAAAGCATGGTTTATATTCATATCATACTAACATGTTCTCGTCCTGAATATGCATTTAATTTGCCACTGGACTGTAATCAATCCATCAAAATAAAATCTTTAACCTGACCAACCTTTAATTTCAGATAATTTTTGTCTAATTTACCTGCTAACATCAAATTTCTTTTTAAATGTTAGTGGAAACTCATCTACATGTATATTTCATTGTCATTCTATCAACTTTATTTGGAAGACTGATCATAAAATTTGAAGATCTAAGGTTTTCTTTTTACAAAAAGCTTGTCTGATTAACCAAAGGATGAAAGCACACAGCTAGATGACCTTTGTGAACTTGTTTATGTATGTATGGAAGCAGAAAGCTGTTAACAAAATAATCAAATCCTCATAATTTTCTTATATCTTCTGGCAGCAAAAAATGTCATGATCCTTCGCTTTTAGAAAGAAAAAAAAATTTGGTATAACGATGCCTCTCTTTCACCCAATAATAAGTTACAACTGCAAAGCGTTTTTAAAAAGGTGATACTTTTAGAAGAAAAAATGTCAACCAAGGCTGAAGGCGGGGGTCTATAAACTGATATTGACTCTATCCATCTCATTACATAATTGTCTCAATAAAATATTTAATCAAATAAAATCAACATACGCGATTGTCAATTGACAGGATAAAATTGTGAACATTTTAACAAGCTAAATTCTGTGATAACAGATCTACGAATTTGGATTAGTCTATATGTAGTATGGCATATTTATTGTTTTAAAACTGTCAGATACAAAATTTATTTAAATGCATGTTCACAATTTTATCCTGTCAATTGACAATCGCGTATGTTGATTTTATTTGATTAAATATTTTATTGAGACAATTATGTAATTAGATGGATATAGTCAATATCAGTTTATAGATCCCCGCCTTCAGCCTTGGTTGACATTTTTTCTTCTAAAAGTATCACCTTTTTAAAAACGCTTTGCAGTTGTAACTTATTATTGGGTGAAAGAGATGCATCGTTATACCAATTTTTTTTTTCTTTCTAAAAGCGAAGGATCATGACATTTTTTGCTGCCAGAAGATATAAGAAAATTATGAGGATTTGATTATTTTGTTAACAGATTTCTGCTTCCATACATACATAAACAAGTTCACAAAGGTCATCTAGCTGTGTGCTTTCATCCTTTGGTTAATCAGACAAGCTTTCTGTAAAAAGAAAACCTTAGATCTTCAAATTTTATGATCAGTCTTCCAAATAAAGTTGATAGAATGACAATGAAATATACATGTAGATGAGTTTCCACTAACATTTAAAAAGAAATTTGATGTTAGCAGGTAAATTAGACAAAAATTATCTGAAATTAAAGGTTGGTCAGGTTAAAGATTTTATGGATTGAATACAGTCCAGTGGCAAATTAAATGCATATTCAGGACGAGAACATGTTAGTATGATATGAATATAAACCATGCTTTGTACTAAACCCCATACTGAACGGGATTTTTAACGTGCTAGTTCACAAGGTAACAGTCCAGTCCGCAGGAAGACATGTCACCCTACCATGACACATTATTTTGACTCTAAGCTGACAAGTCTTTGCTCTTACTCCTTAATGCTGCGTTCGAAGGAGAAGCAGTAAATATCGATGTGTTAGTCTTTGGTTATTATTTTGATATTCGGTGCATAACTGTTGGAGACAAAGTAAGATGTTATTGTGAAAATGATGTAAATTACTTCCACAAAATTCAAGCAACATCATCACATTTACATTTGTCAGGTGCAAATGACAGGTAACTTACAATAGGTGAGCAGTTTATTATCTTTAATGACATTTAAATACTTAGTAGAAATGTATAAAAGGGTATTTGGGGAATAGGTCAATGATGGACCGACTGTCTAAGACCCTCATGGGTAGTCAAGGTCGCTAAACACCCCTATAGAAGTAGGTCAATGAGACAGCATACCAACAACACAATAAAACACGAAAAGACATCAAGAAGTTAATATTGAAGGAAAGCTTGTAGTAACATTGTATTTACATTTTTTGAATATGTAACACGGCTAATAGTAGAACCAAAGTCTTCTCAAACACACACTTATTCTGTACAACTTGTCTTATTTAAGGCTAAATGTTGATATCTAGGGTCGTTGTGTTTTTAGTATCATTGGGTTGCTGTCTCATAGAAGTATACCCCAACTCATATCTCCTTTTACACATACTTAATATCTGTTTGTCTTTAGACAGTAGTTATGTAACGAGATAGTAAATTAATATAATACAACAATACAGCTGTAAATCAGATATTTTATGTCCACTGGCACAAACACAAGTGAATTAAATATTAGCTGTTAATCCCTAGGCAAAGGGAAAAACAACTGCATACTTATACAACAAGGAAATCTTTGGCAAATGTCTCTAGAAGATTATTAAAGTGACACAATATTTTAACACTTATGTTGATTGAGATGATGGCGGGAGAGTTATTGGAAGATTGTATTTTCAGTCAGAGATTACAGCATATATATTTATTATTCATAAATAGTCACAAAATCTATTACTTGATAAATGGCACAAATTTTAAATTGATTTAACTGGGTGTGTAGAAATTCTTAAACCTTTACTTTCACATCCAGTGTTTTTTTTATGCCCCCGCTGTAGCGGAGGGGGCATTAAGTTTTACCCTTGTCCGTCTGTACTGTCTGTACGTCCCAAAATTGGTTTCCGTTCTCTAACTTTAGTTTGCCTCAACCAAATTTTATGAAACTTATACACAATGCTTATTACCACAAAACACAGATCAAGTTGGAATTTGGGATGCGTCACTTTTACCTTTCTAGAGTTATACTCCTTTACAAATGGAAAAATTGCTGAATTTTTCGTTTTCATTCTCTAACTTAAGTTTGACTCAACCAAATGTTATAAATTTTATACACACAATGCTTATTACCACAAAACACAGATCAAGTTTGAATTTTGGTGGTGTCACTTTTACCGTTCTAGAGTTATGCCCCTTTATAAATGGAAAAATTGCTGAATTTTTCGTTTTTCATTCTCTAACTTAAGTTTGCCTCAACCAAATATTATGAAACTTATACACAATGCTTATTACCACAAAACTCAGATCAAGTACAAATTTGGGAATCGTCACTTTTCCATTCTTGAGTTATATCCCTTTTTAACATTATATGCAAGCGGGGTTATCATCTGTGTCCCATGGACACATTCTCCATTTATTTTACCAAGTTTAGAGGGTGAGGGGAGATTAAAGAACTTAAGAGGTAAAATGTTCATATTGTGATTGTTTTTTTTTTTATTGGACAGAAATGTAAATGTTTTCTGTTTTTATTTCAGGCTCGTTTACCCGTCTGTCAGCAGAATGTGCCACCATCACAGATGCCGGAAAAAATGGAGACATGGGAGGTCCCAAAATGGAGGCCTATGCTTGCTGTGGATAGGGACTTGATGATGTATCTTAGAGCTGCAAGGTAAGCTTACAATACAGAATAATGAAAGTCCCAGACGAAAATCTAGCATGATTAGGGAGGGGGATAAATATTACAAGATCATAATTGTATTGTGTAGATCTTAAGGTCATTTCGATGTAGATTATAATGCCCTGCCCCATCATCGTGATTTATTGACTTAAAACTTTGGCATAGTTAACAAGTTTGTGTTTATGTTAGATTAAAGTAAACCACTTCTGGTAAGTCAATGGTATTTGATATGAAGTTTATATGCATTGGCATTTCTCGTTTTCATGGAGGTTACTTGGGCCTGCCCCTTCAGTCACAGTTCATTTCATTTGAATGTTTTGCATCGTGTACATGTTTAAATATTTTGATTTCAACATTTGCGTAATACTATCAGAATTACAAAAAAGTGAGATAAATCTGTCTGTAAACAGTTTATGTTAATCAATCACAACATTTTGAGGTACCCTTTTGAAAATATTACCCAGTATGCACAAGATTTTGAAACAGTGATGATATCAAGTTGACATGTCAAATATAATGAGCTCTTGTGAAATGGTTTGTTTTAAGGATCCTTGTTAACAGTTATTAATTGTCATTGCCTCCTTGTTAACAGTTGTTAATTGTCATTGCCTCCTTGTTAACAGTTGTTAGTTGTCATTGCCTCCATATTAACAGTTGTTAATTATAACCATGTCAACAGTTGTTAATTTATAATTACAGAAGTGTGGCAGCATTTACAGGGATGTGTGATGGAGGCTCAACAGATGATGGTTGCCAGGCAGCCTCTATGGACGAGACCACCATTAATGCTATGGATACAGTGAGTGTTATTTTATCCTGCTTCAAGGAAATTTAGCGAAATATAATGATTACCGATTAAAATGCCAGACAATGCAATTCAGGCAGCGGAAGCCTCTACTTATTTGTTATGGGCAGCAAATTGTTATTAGTATTAATGAACAATTTTTTTATTCTTTAGTTTGCTAGGGTTGTTGTGTTGCTGTTTGATTGATATTCACACCACAACAATATTATCAATCTGTAGGCTGCAATGTAATATACAAATTGTTTGATATTTACAGTTACATAATAACAGCTATGACACAGGAAAAGCTCTGCAAGCTCTGGTCAAGTCTCCAGCCCTTCGTAGCATTGAAAAGAAGTGGACAGATGAAGACTCGGTAAGAACTATTTTATAAAAAACAATGAAAGGCACATCAGTTATGGTGTTTTCCATGGTGTCATAATTTTTTTCTGAATTGATCAGAAAGTACCATCTATATGTGTTTTAGAAAGAACTTAGTTTTATATATAATTTAAAAAATTTTCAAATTTCTTTCTTTTTTCCTCACATTTATCAGGTGAATGTATTTATATATTGATTATATTGTTAAACTATTTTCCACACTTTATATATTGTGAATAACTGGCTTAGGTTAGTAAGCATTTATTAGGTCTAGTTATATCTAAATTGGCTCGCCTCTGGGTGCGGGATTTTCTCGATGTGTTGAAGACCCATCGGTGGCCTTCGGCTGTTTTCTGCTCTTTGGTCGTGTTGTCTCTGACATATTCCCCATTTCCATTCTCAATTTTATCATATATATAAACTATAATTAAACAAATTTCTTAAAGATACATTAATATATAAATATATATGGAGGCCTATGCTATGCTATATATATATATATTTAGTATTAAATTTAAAATTAAGATCCATTTGTTACATCGGTGATCCGTTTATTTGGCAATCGCCAATGGCAGTCAGCAGGGTTTAAGAACATTTGTTGTTCAACCTGTTAGTCAAATGCGTTTTGTTAAAATATACTTTTCACTTTTTTGGTCTTTTGGAAAATGTTGTTTGTGCTGTATTTAATAGTTTTTATGGCAGGATGGATAAGAATCTCGCGGTATTTTGCTATATCTCGCCTATCATCGGTTGTTTGTTTATTCAATAAATGGAAACCGCAAAATTGACGTCTTCTAATTTACCACATATCAATAAAAATGTTCTAAATCTTCTGTACCATTTAAGCACATTTCGGTTTCTTTGTTATTGCTAAATTTGGCTTTATCAACTTGAAAAGTATAAGTATAAGTTTTAGTTAACAGTCTGGCCAGTCTGGCCAGTCTGGCCTTTACTTCGACTTTTTTCACCTCAATACGACAGTTTGGTACAGATTTCAATACCAGATGTACATTTCCAATAGCATGTGATTGAATGTTCAGAAATTTTAAAGTTGACTTTTGTTGTTTCTCTTCTTGCCACTTATCATCCCAGTAGTGTGTAATATATATGTGTCTTCACTGTTTTTTTTCCATTTCAGAATATCTAATTCATTCTCTAATAATGTTTCGATTTCTAGTAAACCATATTTCTCTTATCTCTGAATAACCTTAATTATGTAACTATGCCCATTTTGTTTTGCCATACTTAGTTGCCTTTCTAAAATCTTAAATTCTAGAGTTTCTTTGTTGTGAAGGAGATTTCCTAAGAAAGTTAGAAGAGGGTAAGTGGCAATATATGCCGTCCGATCCGGAAGTCCTTGAATTTGTCTACATACTTTCAACTGTAGTCGCTCTAATTAAGGGATGTCTGACTCCGTAAAATTCATCACCTCTATTCCATATAATGCACGTGGAATTACATACGTTTTCCATATATTATAGGCTACTATTGGAGACATTCCTTTCCTTGCATGCAGTCCAGGTCCAAGCGTATCAAGTTTTTCTAGCCAGTTTTAGTCGATATTAGGTGTTTAGTCTGTTTTGACTATTTCTTACCAGTCCTAGGTATTTTGTTTCACTCTTTTGGGTTATCTCAACGTTTCCAAGATAAACTGAAAAATTACTTTGGCATTTTGTGATTGGTACCAAAGCTGACTTATTTGGGTTTATAGTTACTAAATCTCGTTTTGTACAGTTTTCAGCAATATCCAATAATGCTTGTACTTCATGTTGGTTTTCCTCCAATACGGCTATGTCATCAGCACACGTTTGGGGCCATTACTTTTATGTTTCCTATTTTAGGTCCAATGTCAGATCTTTCGAGTGCTTGGAGTATATTGTTATTATATCTCTTATACAGAACGGTTGACAATTTAGCTCCTTGTTTTACAAAAATGTACACCCTGTGTTACCTTCACTTCATCTGAGAGGCTGTTATTCCATTTCACTTGTATAGACATATTTCTATATAAATTACGTAGAAGTATCCAAATTCCACCACAAATTCCATTATGATATAAATTATTAAAAAGTAGTTCATGATTTAATTTATCAAATGCCTTTTGGGCATCAAGAGTAAGTCGAAAAAGTTCTCTTAAAAGTTCCTTATAACAGTCTGCCGTTTGTGTAACAATAAACGCTGTATATATTGAAGATGCCCTTTCCGTGAAGCCACGCTGTAATTTACTTTGCTTTGGTAGAAGAGCTTGTTCAATTCTGTCTTTCAAGAGGTTTTCCAGTACGGTTGAAAATGTATTGGTAACTGTTATACCTCTGTAATTTTCCGGGTACATCTTGTCTTTGCCTGTTTTTAATACTGGAGTAACAGTTCCAGATTTAACTTTTCTGGCACATCTAGAGTGTCAAAAATTAAAATTATGACGAACACTATAAACGGTATAATCTCTTCTGGTCCATACTTGAAATGCTCTGAGCTAATTCCATTAACGTCTGGTGATTTTCCTGTTTTCATCTTACAAATTGATGACTGTACCTCATTTACAGTAAACTGATGTTCAGTGGTTGTCGTTGGTTGATGTTGTTCATAAGTGTTTCTGGTTTCTCGTTTTTTATATAGATTAGACCGTTGGTTTTCCTGTTTGAATGGTTTTACACTAGTCATTTTTGGAGCCCTTTATAGCTTGCTGTTCGATGTGAGCCAAGGTTCCGTGTTGAAGGCCGTACTTTGACCTATAATGGTTTACTTTTAAAAATTGTGACTTGGATGTAGAGTTGTCTCATTGGACCTCATACCACATCTTCTTATATCTATTGCTCGTTCTATTGGTTGTAACTTTTGTTTATCTAAAGTTTCAATTATTTCGTTTTGGATCTTTACAAGGTTAAGTATTTCTGTGTCAATCTCATTCTTGATGTCATAATTATAGACGGGTTTATCTATAATTGACCTAGAAAACATGGGCGCATCCATTAACCTCTCACGTGACCGATCAGCCATTGCAACCGTGAAAAATAACGCACGTGTATTGATCATAACATTATCGATTTTCTGTTTACATTTGTATTTCTTTCATATTCTTATTTATTTTGCTATGGATACTGCCGAAAGTTATAAAAAAAAAATAGAAGGTGAAGGCATTTCTTATGCAGTCAATAGTTGTACAAATAATCGTAAAAAACTTCAGATGTGGAAAAAATCAATATGTAAACTACACAACGAGTTGCCCATGTTTGATTCCATATAAGTCTCATGTGATGCCTTCTGACGAGCCAACAAAACTTGAGTGGATCGAAGTTATAAACAGAAAACTTTGCATACACAGGTTTTTGTATGGTCCGGACATTTTTTTTTTTTGGATGGTGCGCCGATTTGCACACAATCCGTTTTTTTTTTAAATAAAACTTGTTATGAAAGTAAAATTACACTGGCAGACGAATATTGACACGTCGTGAAACGACAGTCACTGTGAAAAAACTTGAATAAATCTATGAAAATTAATCCGATGACTACATTGCATATGCCTCTTTTTGTATAGAAGATCCACACATCAGATGCGGATCCAGGATTCTTAAGATAATAACAATGAAACCTACCCCAAAGCTACATGTAGTTTAAATTGTAAGCAAATCAACCCAGTATGAAGAGACGAGCTTTTTTATTCATGACGACTATCTTTATGCTGCAAAATGGACAAACATTCCGACAACATCAAGTCAAACACAAATATTGTTAACAGATGAGTAAATAGTCCAAAATTAAATAAAAGGGGGGAACCACGCTGACGTATAGAAAAATTATGAATGACAGTGACGCCTTATTGAATACTTATGTAACTAATTTTCTTCACTTTAGTGGAATTACTACACAAATTTTAAAATCAACTACGATATTGCAGATCAGGGCTCTCGGTCATAAAATTTCACTCATTACTCGGAGTACAAAATTTGTGCTCGAAACACCAAATCCATGATTTTGATTGGTTGATTTCTGAGTCTGAGTACAAAAATCGTGCTCGAAAGTTTTATGACCGCAAGGCCAGCTGTTGCTCGATCGTACTGATGAGATTAACACTAAGTTTGATATTTGGTTATTTGGGACGGCGCTTTCATATTTCGAAAAGTAAGGCTTGTAAAATATTTTATTCCTGGGTGCCAGTTCTTGCTGAAAACCTTAAAGGTTTTACAAACAGCTGCATTCATAGAAATATCCCAGCAAAACTTACTATTAAGGGCGCTTCCCTTTAAGCCTCGTCTTAATGGTTCATATATGTAGGCCTGTGTGCTTAAAGTATATATTCACTTTACTTTCTCGGCGCATTGATAGCAAAACGTAGGACAATATTGCATCTAATAAGTTATATTTGTTAAAGTAAAATAGCGTAATTCATGCGGAGACAAAAGTAATACGAAAACGTCACTCAATTTTGAGCAGTATACGTGAGTCGAACCACATGCACAAAACTCTCGTCTCTGTGAAAAAGTTTATCATCAAGCAGTACATGTCTATAGGTATATTTTTTTTTCAGCAGAGACAAGTAACCGCGCGTCGGAGAAAACGGGCTGTCAAATTATTTGACCGTCGGATTAGAGGATTGTTGAATTTTAGGACCGTCTCATTATAGGTCTGACCACA